CCCCTCTCTCTCTCTCGTTTAGTTTTATAAATGAATACCTTATCTGACTTCAAATTCGTTATCGGCTCTAAATTACCGTAAAAATGATATCCATAGCCAGGCCCAAGCAGGTTTGATGATAAATAAAATTTCTGCTCCTCCCCTCCACCCTCCACAAAAATACAACATACAAAAACCAAAACAATTATAATGACGGATAAAGGGACGATATAATATTAGGGTCGCTTTTATGCACATGGGGCTATCCCGAAAAATGGTGTTTTGAGAAAATCGAAGGTAGTTTTGCCCCTTGTTCAGTTTCTTTAAAAGACAAGGAAAGTTGTCTCTTTAACCAAACAAATGTACACACCAATGAAACCAAACTTCTCCTGTAGGTAGGGCAATACCCACTTTTGGTGCAGGTCAAGATTTCTGGAAACCCCCGAAATCTAGGTTAACCCGCTTGTCTTTAAAACCGACCATATCCCCAGGCGCGACTACTGCGTGTGTTTAAAAAATAACCCCACGCCGCAGCACGAGGCTTGGAGCATTGCCTGGTTTGTCCATTGGCTCCTGCCAGTTTAAGCCAAGACGGAAGGAGTGGATGTGGGGTTTATTCTTTTTACGTCACTTTGTCTCATTATTCGAACAAAGATGGTAGATCAAAGCTCCTACTAGTCTACAGAGAAACAGACAGAGAAAAAAACTTTTCAGAAAGGAATGCTAATTCGGGCCAAATTTAAGTTGAATTCAAACCCTGCACTTCTGAAAAACTTGGTCCAAACTGATAAGTTGGATCTTTCTTGTTATACAGTATAGTATGAAAACACTCAAGCATCTCTTACGGAGCATCACATACAATAGCATGAGTAGGCTAAGTGAGAAAAGGTACATAATGCAGCTTATTATATATTATATTAAGTGACCTCAGCACTGACCTTTGACTTTTATGAACCTGGCTATAACAGGTTTTATTTGTGCAGTGGTCTTGCAGCCTATATGAACTTTTGCTTTCAATCCGTCAAATTATTTTTAAAAATTCAGAATCAAGACATTATACCTGTTTGTATGATCGCTTGCCTAAACACAAACTTTCAACAAACACATACCCCCCCCCCCCCGCGCCATATTGTATACAGAGTTGGGGTTACTGATTGATTCCGTCTCAGTGTCGGCAAAACAGCCCGCTGGAAAAGGATCTGGGGTAACTGAATAAAGGAAAACGGTTATAACAGGACTCGCCTATAACATGGACAAGTTGCTGGTCCCGTCTGTTCTGTTATATCCACGTTTGACTGTATTTAATCTTTTATTAATCGGAAAAAGTCCCCTCCCCCTTTTTTTTGGGGGGGGGGGGACTTCCATAACAAGCGACCACGATGAGGCAGTCCTTCCCACCTTTTATTAACATCTGGTAAATGACCCCCCCCCCCCTAATTACAACCCCACCCCTTTTATTTGGAACCTCAGAGTACACTAAAAACTTGGTTTCGTTCACTCATATTAGAACAATAACAGGCCTAACACGAGCATGTTTACCGCCCCAGGCTATAAATAGACAGCTCTCTTCGCTGGTTGTCACGGACAGCGCCGCAAGTTGTACTGTCTTGTTTACATCGCTAGGTCTCTGCTATCACTTAACCACCCCTCCCCCTCCAACTAACCCAAACGAATCGCATGTGGCTTTTATTGTTTTTCATTCATTAAGTATAAAGCCAAAAAGTGTCCTCTGAGGTTGATGTTGGAAATTGGAAACAATATGGTTTTTATTTGTATTAATTTGTTCTTCCTTTTTTGCTGAAAAAGTTCTCACCATAATATATGGAATTCTGTGCACCATTCAACTCATTGGCCCCATTACATACATTGTCGATTGTCGCACCAGAGACTCTTAAACTCTCTGGTAGGGCTGGATCCTGCTCGTCAAATTTGAGAGTGGCGATTCGCGATTCAGTCGGCTTCAAAGAATCGCGAGTACGCGAGCGCTCGCGGAACTGTGGTGGAACACTGACTGAAACGGAACAGTGTCATGTCAACGGAACAGTATTATAACTACGCCACTAGGCGAGCGCGAGTCCCACTCTTGATGTTCCGCCATCCTCTCCGCCCCACACCCTTTGTTGCGCTGCTCTATCAACTGACCTCAATTAGTGACCCCCATAAATTCCCCCCCCCCCAAACCCCACCATTCGCTAAAACAATGGCTCCATAAAATTCCTTCTGTCTATTGGTTGGACCCCGTTCATTTTGTTTTAATAGGGGGGTTGGACTATACCATCTTTTGTAAAATAAGGGGAGCCATACTAAGTGTTCCGTTCCGTTCTTGCGCTCGTGACTCGACTCAGCAGTAGGTTAAACAAGCCACATGGTGGTGACAGCAGAGAGTATTAAAAAAAATTATTTATAGAGAGCGGAAACGAAGCCTCTTTTCGCGTATCCAGGTCACCAGCTGATTGTGAAACGAGGCGCGGTAAACAAAGCTAATGGCGGCTGTCGGCAGTCGCAAGTCACCTGCAAGTGTAAGTGGTGTTTTGCGGCAGTCTGCGTCCGTGCCAATTCAAGATCGCATAAATACCAGACCTAGCATTATTTAGCTTTCCAAAGGACCCTGAAATGTAAGAATTTGCACATGTACTTTTTCATTAACCTTACTTAATATCGTTTTTCTCTTGTGTAGGCCTAGATTCTACCTAACTTACTAATCTAGATCTAGAATCTAGATCTATATCTAGATCTAGACTAGATCTAGATCTAGATATAGAGTCTAGATCTAGAATACCTCGACTCTAGACCTAGAATCCTAGAGATATAGATATCTAGATCTAGATTCTAGATATAGATATCTAGATCTCTAGATCTAAATTAGATAATAGATTGTAGATCTAGTATCAGTGTCCAGGTCAATTAGTACTAAATCTAGATCTAGAGTCTAGGTCTAGAAATAAGGGCCTAATTAATGCAATGGGTCTACTAGGACCAGATCTAGATCTAGATACTACTAGATAGATCTAGATCTATCCTTGGGCCTAATATTATCATAGCTATATAGACCTATTACATGTATAATGTTTGCCTCCACTACACTCCTTCCTCTGCTTCTTCACAGCACAGGCGACAGTGCAGTCGATTAGCCTAGTTCGTCACGTCATGCCAGTGCACGGGCAGGAGGACGAAACATTGTTAAACCTTACTAGATCTATAGCTAGCGAATAAAACACATTTGTCTGGGGGCTCTGATCGTGGTCTATAGAGTTTAGAGCCTGGGTTGTAGTGTTTGCCTCTCATTCAATAGGTTTGAAACATGACTGGGATAAACAATTTTCTTCTCTGAAGTTTTCTCTTTTCACCGCCCAGCTCTAAGTTCTGTCGTCTGTTTTTCCTCCTCACTTTCTCCCCCCCCCCCCCCCCCCTACTCACACACCCCTTTTGACTCCTCCTCTGGCGCATCTGGGGCTCCTGGCTTTTTCTGCAGCCTTTACTACTACATGTACTACATTCGTACTGCTGCCACTCGTTGGCCCCTTCTATCTGACTGCTGTCTTTCAGTCACCTGATCTTATGGTAAGTAAGATCTAACACATAGCCTTCTCGGAGAAGGGCGAAAAATTTTGGAGGTCCCGTAAGTTGCGCAAGTTAAGGATCCCTTGGTGTTCTTAAAATCAAAAGAGTAGGCTAAGCTTTGGCCCCCACCTGGGCAAAATTAAAAATTCTTACCAAACTGAACAAGTTTAATGTGCCCCGCCTGTTCATATGAGACCTATGCTGTCGCAGGCGCAGTAAAGCGCCCCCCCCCCCCTCCTAAAAAAAGAAAAGAAAACACGCAAAAAAAAAGTGTTTCAAGTGATCTGAAAGAATTTTTTGGGGATCACCCAGCACTGAGTTCCCCTTTATTTCTTTATCAGTTTGAGACTGATAAGTTCCATTTTAAAAAAGTTAAAAATGACATTATCATCGCCTTCATATTGATTTGGGGGGAGGGGGTGGAACCCCCCAACACACACACACACACACACACACACACACACACACACACACACACACACACGTACACACACACGCTCACTCACACTGTAGACCTGAGACTGCATCTGTAGGCTATGTGGCGCTTTGACTCCACCTCTGCATAACTGACTAGATTTAGAGTAGTGAAACATTTAGTATTTCATTTTTTTAAAAATTCAAGCTTCTCATCAGAATTAAACCAATCCAAATATGCCAGGCAAGATTCAACTTTATTGTATGAAAACTAGATGTGGATGAATGTCATTTAACTCTATCCCAAAAATTTTTTAGTTTTAAAATCTCCAGTAGATGTACTCACTAAAAACTGTTAGATCTAATCAATCAAACACTTATATTTCTCTTTTATGAAATGAAACTAAATGAATAGACCTATATTCTATGTATAGATCTATGAATTTTGTAATATTTAGAATCTTAACTGCACACGTGAGAATATGGGCCACCACAGTGTATTATTTATTGTGAGTACCGGTCTTTTGTATAGGAGGCCTGCTGTAAAACTCTGTGTTACAATCTAAGTTTTTTGCATTCCTACCAAAAAATACCAAAAAATTATAATTTATTTCTGATGTTTAAAAAAATGGGTTATGAATTATCGGAAGGCTGACTTTGGTTCTTAAGATAGCATAAGTCACCTATACGTGTACCATGGGAATGCATTGTGCGCTGAGCAGTTTGAACTGTACGTACTGCCTTTGGAAATCTGCATCTTGAACAATTCTAGTGCAGAATGCTGTGGCCATGCTGTTTACTGTTCCAAACCCTCCAAAATAAATAATTATTGTTCCCTCCAGGCCAGTTCCAAAGGATACAGGTCCTGTCCATGACAAAAGATCTAATAGTGTCTGCGATGTGATGTGAGAGTTTTGAAGAAGAAATTAAAAGTGGAAGAAAAAAAACCACCTTGACATCTAAGAAGACAATGTCCTGCTGTAATAAATGTACTACGGAATACATGTAACAAAATTAAAGAGACAAAGAAATTACAAAGTTTACTCAATTATTATTAAGTAAGGAAGTGCTAGCTTGACCCTGTCAGGACCACCCTTGAATTTTGTAATGTCCCAAATTTATGTGCCTGACAGAGAAGTATGGACATAATATACAAAAGAATCAGCAAGAGACAATGCATACAGCAAAACAGTCTAAAAAAGACTGTCACATTCACCCACTTAATTGTAAGAGCCAGTTTCAGTAAAATGCTATTAATCCATGAAAGATGCATTATACATGTTTATATATATAGGCCTCTGGTGAGTTCGATCTGTCGCTTTGTATTCCTGTTTTTATCCATATGCCTAGCCTAGGCTGCACAAAACGAATTCTGTTTTCTATTTCTAGAGTCTGTTGCCTTTTCTCACCATTGCCTATAGGCATATAGATCTATATATGCTATTGCATGCTCTCTTTCTTTCCTCTCCAACTCTTCTCTACCCACAGACTCCATGCAGGGCTATGTAACTAATTAGTAAAATAAGTAAAAATGTATTAACCTTTATTAGGCTATCTTAAATTAAACTTCTTATGTTGTAAGCTAGTTATCTAGATCAACGCGTGTATTTAGGCTAAGGCAGGCATATTTTTTATTATGTTGGAAACTTATAGATCTAGAATCTAGATCTAGAGTCTAGATGACTTTTTTTCTTATGTAACTACTGACACTGTCTCTAGATATAATCTAGATGTAGATTCTAGATCTAGTTTTCGGTCTACATATTATCAAGACATGTTTTGGTTTTATGCTAGATCGACATTATTTTATAACTTGGCCTAGATCTAGAATTCAATTTTAAAATCTGTTGTCCTGTTTTCATCAACATGTGTAACCTTTTCTGTACACCAGAAGAGTATAGAATTGTAGAGTCATTGTTTACAAATGCAACCTTGGCCAGTTCTCTGATTGCGCTAGGCCTAAGCCGCAGAAAGCTAGGTCTAGGCCCCTCTAGACGCGACGCGCTTCGTTTCGATAAGGCCTAGGTCTCGCTAGGCCTAGGCTAGACGCGACGCGCTTCGCTGTCGATACCGCGCCTGGTTATTTTTAGCTCGCTTCTCAGCGGTCACGTTCGCAAATGCACTGTTGTCACGGACTGCGAGGCCTCGTTTTCTGTCTCTATATTTTAGTGTCTCTAGTGACAGCGACAGGGGAGTGAATCGGGAATCGTTTGGCGATACTGTTCCGCGTTCCGCTGAAGTGAATCGTGAACCGCGTTCCGCAGGAAAGAGTGACGATTCAGTTCCGTTCTCGCGCTCGTGACCCAGCCCTACTCTCTGGTCGCACTTTGCTGTTCGTCCCCGGATTTCCGGTTAAGATTACACCATGAACTGCTATCCACCCAACTAGGCTACTCCTTTCAAGATCTACCCCATATTCCGGATGTTTTTTAAGGACAGCGCCCATATCATTGCAACGATTGCTTTTCCGGCCTTTTGAGTGACGCGGAAGTAAAATCTTGAACGCTTCGAATTCTCTTGGTAAGTCATTTATGAAATGGAAAATAATTTTACACTCTCTCTAGATATCTAGAATCTAGAAGGTCACTCCCACTGCCTGATGTTCTACTTTTTGGGTCCAAAATGAAAATCGTATTTTTAGGACTTGGAATAACAATTCAAATTGTGGTGATTAGCCTTCCTATGAACTTATGACTATGATGATAGTTGACAGTAGTTGGTTGGCCATATTAGTTAGGCAGTTAGGCCTCTAATTAGTTTAGTATAAAAGGCTATAAGGTGATCTTGTAGCTCCGTTCGTTTAAGTCCACGATCTATTTGTTTACAAACATCCAGAGGCAGAGAAGAAATCCAGAAGTCTTGATATGATCAAAGGCTACGGACGCTACACAAAGACTGTGAAAGAGCAGGGATGCAACCTCTGCAAAACATCAAATTAGGATAAAATTCAGGGGGGCACCCCCCTACTTTTGACTCTAACGAATGACAATACAAAATCGTCGGCTGTAAAATTAGGCTACGTCCAGAATCTAGATCTTGATCATGATCTAGATCTATATCTAGATCTAGATCTAATATCTAGATCTAAAATCTAGATCTAGAGTACATCCTGTGGTGCGATATACAGTAAGCGATCTTTTGTGGACATCTCTGGAAGTTACAGGTCGATCTTCATGATTTTTTCACCAGAAGTTAGAAAAACTTCCTCTCTATACGGTGTAGCGTATTACTGTAACAGCAGTTTAAAATTTCTATATGTTGTGGTGGTGTTTGTTTGGTAACGTGTGTCTGGTTTGGTGCGCAAGGTTTCTGGTTTGGTGCAACATATCGTCTGGTTGGGTGCGCAATAGTACCATGTTTACAGCTTTAGATCTAGATCTAGCTCTTTTCTGACACTTTTCATCTTTCTCTATCCTTGCCTAGTCTTCTTTTCCTTGCAAGAAGTTCCTGTACTGACCATAACAGAAGGCCAAGGTCAATTAGGCGTGTTCTTTTTTGGAGCTGTGCGCCCCCTAACAGGAGATTTCCTTACATCTTGTGTATGTGTTTTGATAATGGATAAAAAGAAATGCTGTGGACACAAGAAGGGGAAAGAAGAAAACAAGAATAAGACTATACCTAGACTAGTATTTTAGAAGGAAAAGGACAAAAAAGAAGAAGAAAAAGACGTGAAAAGAAGAAATTGAAAAAGAAAGGTGCTGTGGACACAAGGAAGTGAAAGAAGAAAACAAGAATTAGACTATACCTAGACTAGTATTCTTTAAGGAAAAGGGCAAAAAAGAAGAAGAAAAAGACATGAAAAGAAGAAATTGAACATTTTGGAGATTATATTTCCATATTAATTAATTTTGACATGAATACATTAACTCATCATCTTCCAATGGCAATATAATGCATCCAAATGGAAGGAAAACAGTCTGTTCCAGTGCACAATGCAGGTCATAAAGAAATAACTTAATAAGTAAAACAAACAAAGGGCCTAGAAGTAGAAGCCACACTATCAATGCCAAATAGCAAAAAAGCCGATATTGCGCACTGAAACGGACTGCCCAAATTTGGTCCGCTTCAGTGCGCAACCCTATCTGGCATGTTCCTGGGCATTAAGAAGCAGCCTGCGATAGTATTTATCGATTCTAGTATACATTCTACGATACATTAGAGCTAGATTAGCGAGATGTGCTAAATAATCGACTACTCAAGCGCTTAGTAAATTGACCGATACCGGTTACGAAAACCATTAATATGAAGGGGCAAAACTTTCCGACACCGTAGAATCACGTGTGTTGACAGGAACCTCCAAAACGAAAGTGAAATAAGCTGCATTCTGCGCATGCTCACAGAAAGTGACCTCGTTTTCGCTGTTCTTATCCAAAACAAAGCAGGAGACCGGGGGTTGCGTACCCAAACAGTAGCGCGGTGATGCGGGCCTACTCTAGATCTAGATTTAGATTTTCTAGGACTATTTTATAAATATTTTTTTATAACACAAACCCACCACACAGTCCAAATTCCGTCTCAGCAATCTTTTAGTTTGAAGTTTGCTCGGGCCCCCCGCGTTAGGCCATACATCACTGGCAGGTGACCGGCAGTTTCACGCGTGGGGGCGGGGATTGACCGGTGTCAACTCGTGCACAGCGCTCCTATCTTGCCCTTATCAGAATGTGTTTCTTCCCCCAATTTCATGAGCCATAGGATGCTCTCTCGGTGATCTTGTATTTCCGTTTGTTAAAGGCCACCACCCATTTGTTTACGTCCAGAGAAGAAATCAGGAAGTATTGATGACCAAATGGGCAACACAAAGAACAGGGATGCAACACAGGGATGCAACCTAACTGCAAAGGAAGAGGCTAGCCGTACTTAATGATGGCTAGACTGGCAGTCTAGCCGTACTTATTCTTGATATGATGGCTAGACTGACCATAAAATTTACAAAAAATAGGCCTACTGAATTGTAAATAAACATTTTTAGTGTGCAGTACCTAAGGTATATTGCATTTGAGACGAAACCAGGTACCTTAATGACAGTACATGTATTTTAAATCTCTTGTTTTCTAATGTTAATAGGGCCTAAGATAAGTACGGGTAGACAGCCAGGCTAGCCGTACTTAAGGACGGCTAGACTGTCAGGCTAGCCGTACTTAATATTGATGGCTGAATTGTAAATGAAATTTTTAGTTTGCAATGCCTAAAGTATTTAATTTGTATTTCAGACAAAACCAAAAGGTGCCTTACTGACTTGCATGTATTTGAACCTGAATAAGTACTAGATCTAGATCTAATGAGACTTGTGTGCTAAACAGGCTTGAGTCGATAGGGCCAAACCTAGATCTAAGTACGGCTAGACTGGCAGTAGCCGTACTTAAGCCACTTCGAACTGCAAAACATCAAATTATGGTAAAATTCAGGATGAACCCCCCCGCACCCCCTCCCCCCCCCCCGTGATTTGGTCAGGGGGGCAAGCCCCACTGAAACCCCCCTACTCTTGACTCTTTGGGCCCAAACCGGCGAATAATAATAATTGGGGGTGGGTACTGCCGAAAAAGGGCCATTCTTTGCTTGAATTTTGATTTTCTCCTCAACAATTATCTGGCAATTCAGGGTCTCTGGCGTTCAGCTTTGGACTTAAACGAACGAAACTACAAAATCGCCGCTCTCTCTACCCCCAGAGTCTAGGATATATCTTAGCTACGTTCGCTTCTTTTCTTTGTCTTCTTATATCTTGTGAAAGTTTCACTAGTTTTCATTGTTTCAATTGGGAATATAACAGTTTTAAATTGTGAGTGTAAAGGGATCAAAAGTGCCTTTGAGAATGTGATCTCTTCAAATTTAATAAATTAATTAGGCTACAAATCATTCCAAAATGAATCGATTGTGTTAATTTCTGTTTGCACGTTGTGATAGTCATCAAATCATACTTGTAGTTTTCTAATTTGTCTAAAACAGCACTTTGCAGTGATTGGCAATCAGTTAGTGAATTGTGTTCCAAAGTAAACATTGTTCAACTGCGTATCAAACATTGAGAGCCATAAACAGTCTCTGAATGAAGATTGTCGGGTCTGTGGGCGTTTAAATTTAACTGCCAAACAAAAAAAAAAAAGTACAGAAAGCCCCGATTATGTAAGACAATGGCAGGAGATTATATATATTCTCTTGATTTATGAGGTTGATGTGAGGGACAAAGCTGTACTGTCATATTTCGCTAACATTTGTGTCAAGTGTTTTAGTTTTACCACGATTTCAACTATCAAAAGGAGACAAGGTGTTACGTCACATCTATTCAAGCTGCAAAAAAAGCTGTTGAAGCTAGTAAGGAATATGGTGTGCCTTTGACAATTAACTATAAATGTGAATTCCTGCTCTGTTTTTCTGAATCGCTTCAAGAGTCTTGTTGGTGGCTGCATGGAAAGATAGATCTATACAATTTTTAGCAAACATCGCTTCACACCCCAAGCATACCACAGCAGATCTTTCGTGGGCAATCACTGTCACAAGTACCTCCATCCCCATTATATGTATACATTACAAGGACTATCAAACACAATTTGTACAGAAACAAGAAAATACACCCGCGACACTGCAATAATTGAGGAACTCCAAGCAAATGTAGAGTGGAAACAATATTCAATCGTCTCAATGAAAGATTTAGCCATGTTCACTAGAGTTGGGACGAGCGCACGGACCGGACGGGTTCGTTACTCGCGTACTCAGTCAGAGCAAGTGGGTAACGGATGGCCATGTGAATGGACTGTGAGCCTCAAGACAGTTAGTTTTTTGAGTGCGTTCCTCAATTTTATTCTCTCAGAGAGCAGACGAACTCTTGCCTAGCAGACAAGACAGAGCGGACTGCGAACCTCAAGTCAGGGTTGTTGTTTTTTTTGTTTTACGGCGCTCACAACTGCATACAGTCATATTAGTGCAAGAGACACATTTATTTTCAGTTGGTAGGAAATTTTGAATTTTGCTCGGGTGACAGCCGAAGCCAACTCTTATCGATTTTAGGCCACCAAGGTTTTGTGCATCAAGGAGATTTGAAAAAAGCCTTCTATGGTATTTTTTATCCTCAAATAGGGTCTGAGAAATATTGAGATTTGAATCCCGAAACTGTCAAGATTTACTACTGCATCGTTTAGCTCACCTGTCAGTCTGGTAGATTCATATACATGTAAATAACTGTCCATTTATATATTTTGTTAACCAGGGAATTGCATTGTGTATATATATATTATTTTATTATGTATTTGTATGTGGTCATTTTGTAACGATGTGTAAGCTTGCGCTATGATAACCAGGTAGGCGTGTGTGTGTGTGTGCACGAGCGTGTGCGTGTGCGAACATTATTTGTACATGCATCCATGTAAAGTGCCTATAGTTGTGTTCATATGGGAGTGAGTGTTATAGAAATGATCTACATTTTTCTTCTTTTCTTATTAGTTACACACTTTGCTGTGGAACGCAGGACACCTCAGTTCTGATTCATGAGTGGGGAGATATTTTATAGTCTAGTATCTTGGTCTTTCTACGGGGATATTGTTGCCCTCAGCCGGATTAGCCCTGGTAGACAGGGTCGAACCATGCCTCTTTAATGATCTAAATTCTGTCGATAGGGATGTAAAAAAAAACTGCATTAAAGAAAAAAAAGATGATTTTACCTGCTCCTCAAGGCTCAAAGCATTTATTTTGGTACCCTAGGCATTTCGGTGTGTTAACTTTCCTAATTTTAAGAAAAGGTATTATATCAGTACTTGAAGTGGGAAAAATGTACTATGATCTTTGGTCTTCATGTGTCCTCTACTTATTTCATTCCAGAGACTAGTTGATAAGCTCTGGTCCATTCCCCTTTTTTTGCTTTTGCTTTAGGCTGTGAGGTCTATGCTTAAAACTTAAATTACTTTTATCGCCTCATTGTATGCCGAGCTAGTCTATTTGATGTATTTTGCCTAGAAAATAAAAGAAAATGCAATGAAATCTGTCCCACAGACTGACTGCCAGGATGTCTGACGCTCCACCGCCACCATACCCCGGCCCGAACCCTGGCTATGGTGCCCCACCTCCGGGCGGACAGTACCCACCTCCGAGCGGACAGTACCCGCCTCCGAGCGGGCCGTACCCACCTCCCAGCTCGGGCTACCCAGCACCAGCTCCTTACAACGACCCGTACAAGCAGACAGGTGCCGTAATAGTTAATATCATCATCAATGCTTTTCAGCCCGGGCAGGGTATAGGCCACATACAAGCTCCTTCCATTTATCTCTGTCCTGGGCCATGCTTCCAAGCTCTCTCCAAGTGAGCTTCATCTCTCTCATGTCCTTTTCTACGCATCTCCTCCATATTTCCCGTGGCCTACCCCTGCCTCGTGCTCCTTGTGGATCCACTGCAGTGACTGTCTTGTGATGTTAATAGTTAATATAGCTGCTAACTAATATGTCAGTCGTGTACTGGGTGTATATATAGAAAATCTGACATATTTGTGAGGCACCGTGGTGAAATCAGGCGCTGGTCAAAATGTTGAAATCAAAGAAATCTGAATTTTTTGGCTATGGACAATTTTTCTTATAATTTTCTTTTTTTTGGCTCAACACTTTTAATGTCCTTTTAAAAACATATTTCTTTGTTGATTTTACTGAAAAACGTTGATTAAAGGCACAAAAAATGTAAATTTGCAGTTTCCAAAGACTCTTAGACTATCGAAGCTGCCAACCTTTGGCGACCATTTTCTCGCTAATTTTACCTCTAAAACCAGACAGCGTTGACTCCTTCAATCGCAAATATTTCAACTTTAATTCAACGTAGATGGATACTTTTTCACTAAAAGAAAGGCAAATGAACAGGCTTTAAGGTGATACCAATAACCCCATATGCCCCAAAATTGACGACCACCACTTCATGACACATTTTTGTGTGCTGTTTTATTTTCGGCCTGGTGTGCATTATCGCCATAAATTACAATTAGTTGATTTTCTGGCCCAGTAGTTTACTTAATCTGATTTTACCTTTATTTCTCTTTCTAATGACGGATAAAACGCTGTTGTAGCTTATTATAGTCCGCTATGAATGTGAGCCGGTGCTCCATTTTGACTGACCAAACTTAAATTCCGTCCAAGTGCGGAAAAAGAAATTGGGAGATTAAAGGGTTAAATGGGTCTTTTTTTCTTTTTAAGCACCCGATATAGTGTCGAGAAGCCAGCTCAGAATAGGGATAGGTGGAAAAGTGTTTGTTTATGGCCTGTACCTGATCCAGGCTGAGAAAAGCAATGAATGGTGATGATGCATGGATTCCAAATACTTTTCCAAACCTGTCAGTCAAAAATGAGCCTTTCACATCACACCATATGAGGCTCAGTGACCAGTGTTTAGCTGAGCCAAAAAATTGGTTATCTGAATTTTTGACCATCAGGCCAGTATTAAGCTGAGCAAATGAAATTGGTTATCTGAATTTTTGACCATACGTTGGCTATACTGTCACCCTTCCTTTGACTGTTGCCCATCCACTTTTTGCAATAGCAACCAGTTTTGGAGACAAGTGCTCGACCATGACTGATAAGTATAGTTGTGTATGGTATTGTTGAGGGTTTTTTTGTATTCAAAATCTAATGCTTATATTTCCTCTTTCAACATGTAATATTTTTTATTAAAAAAAAATTAAACCTGTTTTAGCCTCCAAATCAATTTAACATTTGATTGTCCATAAAGTGGAACAGAGTGGCGTTGGTGGCAATGTGGTTAGGCTACTGTCGATTACGACGATTACGAGTTTTGGAGTTTAAGCCTCAGCTCGGTCTGACGTTATGTGCCTGAGAAAGGTACTTTTCACGAATTTTCCACTTGGCTCGGTCCTTTCGAAGATGGATGTTAAACTTGGAGGTCCTGCCTCTTAAATAATCTAATAGTGTTGATAGGGGTGTTGAACATATATCATTTCACCATTTCATTTTATAGAGTAGAATATTTACAGGCCTCTTTCTGCCGAGATGGCATGGGCAGCCACCTGTTTATCTACTTCGTGGGGTGTCCATCGATAGCGATGATGGTTAAGGCAGCATGTGTAATTCAGCTTTACCAAGGGGGTAGACATAGTTGAAGTAGATTGCCCAAGTACTACTTCTCTCCCTTCAGATCTTGACTTGATATGTTCCAAAGGAGAGGAATAGTATAATCATAGTTAATATGTTTGGAATCAAGGAAGGTGGGTGTTAGAACTTTTCTGACTGTTTCAGTGATAAGGATATTCTTTATGGAACGAGCATTTTTGAATTTTGTGCGGGTAACGGCTTAACGGCCTACTCTTCTAAGATTTTCAACCTCCTAAGGGTTCTTTAACATGCACAAAATGTACATGAGACCTCCAAGGTTTTTAAAATTTGTTTATTAGAAGTTCTTTAAACCCCCACAGAGGAGAATAACGGAAGAGGGCTCTTTTCGTTGACTCTCAGCAACTACTTTTTTTCTTTCTTAAGTGCCTGACATATTTCTTGGCGATCTGACAGAAAGAATGATAAATAACTGTAAAGAAGAACCGGCAGCTGAATAGGGTCTCAAGCCCTAGCCTACACACAGCAAGTTTCTGTGAGGGTGATGTTGTGGACTGACTTTGAAGCTGACCCAGGATACCCAGGGTTGTTTACAGGATGTTAAGCAAGATGGCCTGACTTCAGTGAAAAGATGCAAACTAAAGTGGAACGGACTCATCGCACGATCATCTGCACGGACCAAGACCTACACTGCCGTAAGCTGACAAAACGCCTTTTTTCGTTTTAGCGCCAACAATTTTTTATTTGCTTAAATCGAAAGCCTGATCAGTTACCCTTCTTGTTTGAAAAAATCAAAGTGAAACTATGTCTAGTTTTTTAATCAACTAGAATTCAAATTTAAGAAAACAGCTATTTTAAAATAATAGTTTTTCTCAAAACTGCTGCGAATAAAAAAGGCGATTTTTCAGCTTACGGCAGTACAAGGAACAGCCCAAGGAAGGAGACAAAGAGGCAGATGGTGGAAACAATGGGGAAGACAACATCAAGGAGTGGTCTGACTGTAGAAGACTGAGAACTGAGAGAAGCTGGTTGCAGTACCAGTGTTCCTGCGGCCTCCTTCAATTCAAGGAGTCCTTGAAAACTCCTTGAATTTGCATTCAAGAAAAATCTCCTTAATAACTCCTTGAATTTGAGGAATTTTCTTGAAAGCTCCTTCAATTTGAGGAATCTCCTTGAAAACAATCCTTGAATTTCACAGGATTGGACATGAACAAAATTTTTGTCGGAAAATTGAAACTACGATTCCTTTCAGACAAGTGTAGGCTTATTGGAAATAGGCTTTCGGCCTGCATTTCTTGACCAAATCTCCCTGAATGTTTAAAATTTCTCCTTGAAATCTCCTTGAATTTGGTGGGGAGTTCATGGCAGGAACCCTGCAGCACCTACAGTGGTGCTCCAATGGTCAGGCAGAGGAAAGGATAGGTGAAGATGAAGAAGTGATCTGTGGACGTTCTGGTTGATGGACAGCATGTGTACACCAAAGTGTTGGGGGAAATGTTAGTTCTCTGAAATGATGGGCCTTGAAGTACATGTCTGACTCAGTAAGTGGGCAAAATGTTTTTTTTATAATGGGCAGCCAAGAATATTTTCCCACAAAGACAATAAATTATTATCTGATCTGATCTCACCTTATCTTATCTTACCTTATCTTATCTTATCTTATCTTATCTTATCTTATCTTATCTTATATCTTGTTTTATATCTTATCTCATCTTACCTCTTTTATCTTTTCTCTTATATCTTATCTATCTTATCTTGTCTTGTCTTGAAAGACCCTCGGTGACATTTTGGAGAGAGCAACGGACATGTCTGGAATGCAGGGATGTTGCTTTCTGAAACAGTGAACAATGAACAATGAATGTCTTGTAGTGTCTTGTCTTATCTTAAGTTTTGAATTAAGAATAAAGAATGTATATTATATTATAATGGCATTGTCCAAGACGTTCACCTGTCTAAGACGATTACCCTTCTCCTTGACATTGGGTGGCTGTTTTGAACATTTTCGACTGTATTTGCTGTTCTGATGTCCGGAGACTGAATTGTTACTCTTTTGAAAACCTTTCCCCTATGAAAGTTTTAGTACTGGTAAGCAAGGAACTGTTGATACCATCAAATGACAAGTTTTTTTCGCAGCATATTTATATTGAGTTTTTGGTTATGTACCCTTTATGTTTCTTGCAGCTGGTAACACCACACACATGTATACATGGCCAGGTAATTGCTCTCTAAAGTGTTTGCTTTTGGTGAAACCTTTACATGGTGCAGTAATAATAGCTGTAATAATTGCACTTTCTGGAAACTGTGCGACCTACCTCACACTCACTAGATGGTTGTGATACTTTTCACTTATTGTGCACAGGCAGAGATGAGATTGTTTTAACTGTAAGACCTTTCATTTTTTGACAAAATATAGATACAGTATAGCATGCGCATTGTGAAATTCGCGAGACATGGAAATCTTACCGTTATGTACAAATTTTGCTTTGCATGTGTTTTAAATACTAAAACTTGTGTAAGAAAAATTCAGGATCTGAAAAGATGTTCGCGATGTGCATGTTTTGCTGTGTGTGCACTAGACTGTATATTTATGGTACTGAGCTCAAGAAAAGCTATCGCAGGACTTATGTCGTAGTCTAAGGAACACGGACCTTCAACTTTGTTACAGAGGGTATGCTTTCTCTAGACGTGTTATCGAGGATCAATTGTTTTTTTGATTTATAGTTGTTTCAGTTTTTTTTTGTGGAAAGGTTCTTATCCCCTTTGTTTGTCATCTTATGATCTCCTGTTTGACCTATGGTAGATTTGCTGCCCTTCCCTTTGTATTGAAAATGTGCAAAGGGCAGATGCAGACCTTTGCTTTGAATAGAGAGACAAAATAGATAATAATAATAATTGTCTGTGTGCTTTTTTGTGTGAATAGAACAATATTACCTTTGCGTAATGATTTGGTTGTCTGATTTGAAAGAATGTGCATCTTTTGCATTTGATGAAAACGTCGCATTTGGGGGTATTCTTGTCTTGTTTTGCACTTTTAATACAAGCCATTCGTAACAGTGTTTGTCTCTCACTCTCAGATTTATTAGTATGGAGAATAAGTTGTCTCTGTCTTTTTTCCCACTGATGCTCTAGTTTTGTGACTGTTTTTTAATCTGTTCTTCTAAGACGAGTATGAATATAGATGGACTGCTCAGATTCAAAATCAGCTACTGAAAGGAAATAAGAGCCTTTTGCTTTACAAAAATAGTTTGAAAGGGAAGCCTGAGACCAATCATAAGTCTTTTCTCTCTAGTTTTAAGTTAGTTGGAGAGCAAATCAGCGAGAGAAAATCGGATATTGTTTTGAAACAGAAAGGTTTGATGTGGCCCACATTACTGTCATAACAGGGTAAAAATATGTCGATCTTTTAAAATCTTTTCTTTTCGTCTTATTGAATTATTTAAGCAAAAATTGGTGGTCTCATTTCTTTCAAGCTCAAGAATACATTGTACATAATTTTTATTTGAAATCAGCAGTCTTGTGCTATTTTTCGGTGAATCTTTTTAGTTTCGGTACTCCCCATTTGTACTTATAGCATGTTTGGTACATGCTTTCAATACTTTACTTTGCTTTTGCAGTACTGAAATATGATAAATTGAAATCCGATTTGTATGCATGCTGTTTGTCACTGCACTTTTTATGTGTCTGTAAGTTTAACTAGGACAGTTTACCTTTGTACATTGTGTATGTGTTGTAGTGCGGTAAAAAATTCTTGGTGCAACTTATTGTCAAATATTTCCAAAAGTATCGAACAGAGACTCTCCAGCTTTTGCACAATGACTTGTATCAGTATGTCTTATCTGATCAATATTTTTGTAAAAATCTGTTAGCTGTACTCTAGAAAATTCCTGAATAAATACTAATAAAAAATCCTAGTGGGTGGTTTCTGCAGATTTTAAAAGGTTTGCAGCTGGGGCAATATCGCTTTTAAAAGCAAGTCTATGATTTTTTTCAAATCGGGACACTACCTTTATTGAACTCATGTTTTGAGAACCTTTTGTGCAAAAAAATGTGTTCACTATAAAATTTAGTAGTATTTTATAACAATTTATGATCGAAATTTTTAATTGAAGCCTTAACTCTGGCGGAAAAATTTAATTACGTTATGACAAATTGATACAAACTGCTGTGCAAAGTATGGGTGACATCGATTCACCCGTTCAAGAGATAAAATTTGAGGAAAATTTGAGCCACAAATTTTTGACTGCACTGTAGCAATATTCACTAAGTGTTGCTTTGCCATTGCTGTGTAATTGATTTATGTTACAACTCTTTAAAATGTTCAGCACTGTTTCCTGCTCTGTCTCACAAAGTCACTGCACATTTTTTAAAATACTGCCGCTGCTGAAGACCTTTTGTTTTCAAATGCGTTTAGGTTTGTTAAGAGAGGTCAGGTGGTATAAACATGTTCGTATTTACACTGCTCTGGTGTGGTTCACTCCTTCTTTCCTATCAAGCATCTGTCGTCCTTATCTCTCCTCCTTCTTTTTTTATGTACGTTACTCTCTTGTAACACATCTATTCTTTGGCACTTATATAACCTTATTGTGTTGCAAGTGCCGTAAAACGCTTACTAAAACTAAGTATGCACTGTAGAATTGTAAATGGGCTGACTTATCAATGTCATACTCATACTGTTCCGAAACAACATAGGGGGAACTGCTGCTTTTTCTTTCCTCATCCTTACTATCATCATTTTCCTTTACTTCTTTTGTATGTTTGTCACTCTCTTGTGAACTGCTATTTCCGGGGTGCCTTGATAGTCGAAGCAGACTTTGTGTTGTTGAAGCTAGAGAGGTGAGCAGAGAAAGCATGACTCCCCGTTTGGACTTCTCTGTTGACATCCACCCCTTGGCGCTCATATGACCTTATGTAGTTGCGAGCACTGTAAATACCTTACTAAAAGAGAGGTCAGCTTAGTTCACGTGGCTATTGGATGTGCCCTCTGTGATGGTTTGGCCGCGCTTGCGCTCACTTGTCCTTGAATGAACCTTCTCTAACAGACATATTTGCAATGTTGTAGACCATTACTTTTTACACCACTTAATCACTGGAAAATACCAGCTTTCACTACAAATTTCAATTGACCCATCACTTTAGTAAGTTTACAGAAAGAAGCAAGCATTGTAAAAGGGTAAAGGAAAATGAACCTTGTATATATATGTATCTAAATCATCCTCCAGAGTCTAAGAGTGTGTCTCCTTATGCGCGCCGCGATATGGCGCCGCGAACGGTCCTTGCTGCTCTAAAATCAATCAAGTAAGATTATAAAAAAACTGTCTCCTTACATGTCATTGCGACGTCTAGTCGCATGATAGTCGCGTGTGACCGTCGCCTGCGATTGGTGCATGTAGCGATCGAGGGCTTCGTCATGTGTGACAGACTGGGGGTGTGACAGGTTTAGAGCATCACCATTGGTCAAAATATTTAGCCAAGGAGTGCCGGTCAACACACAGTGTGTGTGTGTGTGTGAGTGTGTGTGTGTGAGTGTGTGTGTTTGAGTGTGTGTGTGTGTGTGTGTGTGTGTGTCTGTCTGTGTGTGTGTATGGGTGTTTGTGTGTGTATGTGTGTGTGTGTGTGTGTGTGTGTGTGTGTGATGTTCATCTTCAATTCGACCAAATGCAAGTTTGTGAATCTAGTTTCTTCTTCTTTTTTTTTTTACGGGCAACAGGAGGAGAAAGAGGAGGAGGACTGGAGGAGGAAGAGGAGGATGAGGATGACTTACATAAGATTGGCCATGTACGAAATATAAAATGTCAGCGGCTCCTAGAACTCTCATCTGACAGACTTTGTTCTTCCTTGTCCATCTTGACATTAACACTTTGCAGTCACTTGGTGCAAAAATGCGCCTGTGAAAATTATCCGTTCCGGTCACCTGGCGCCAGGCTCGAAAAGTCTGCTTTACTCGCTCTCCTGGCTGGGTGAACAGATGGGGTGTTGTGTACAGCTGGCTATGTGACTGCAAAGTGTTAAATGTTGCCACAGTCTCTCTTCTGTGAATTGCCAGTCGTTCATTGGTGTAGCCATTCGCGTGCAGCTAAATGCCACGTCGTGCATAAGGAGACAGTTTTGTTACATTTGCCTCTCGCGACTGAAAATTTTGACACAATGTGGTTGAGCATAGGATGCACACCTTGCGATTCATCACTTGTGACTGTTGCGCACGACTAAACGTCATGTCGTGCATAAGGAGACATAGGCTTACTTGACAACACCCTGCAAGACACCAGACAGTTAACTACTAAGCTACTAAGAGCTTTAAAAAAATGTGTGTGTTCTCACACCCCAATTCACACTATTTAGATAATTTAGGAGGCAGGCTTGCAACCCTGTCTGTCAGGGCCAACTTGAGCTGAGACAAACACACAATCCCAGCAGAAAGACTAAGATACTTAATAGAAATTCTCCCCATTCGGGAATCGAGCTCTAGTCTCCTGTGTGCGACAGTAAAGGGCCTAACTTCAACACTACATGCGCTGATACAAAGGGCCTGTTAACTTGAATTCATAAAAACACAAGAACACAGTGATAGTCAAATGAAAAAGTAGGATCATTCAGTTATCTAAGAGAAAAACATAGACACCTTTCTTTTTGTGTAGAGTAGTAATGGGGAAAGTTAAGATTTTCTGAGGTTGATGTAAGAGTGAAACAAGTATTTGTTTTGTATTCTAGGCAAAAGGGATAAATTTAAATAAGAATAAAGGGGGAAAGAAAGTAGAATTATCAATTCCACCCTCGAACCACTAGAAAGACAAAAATCTGACAAAAAGAAGAAACAAAAGGAAAGCATTAGCACTAAATAACAATGACAATATCTGTGATAATAGTATACATTTACAGAAATATATTTCAAGTGACAAGGAGTTTTCCTCCTCTTCTCTCTCTTCCCCTTTAAATAGTTTGAGATTTCTTATGACCTCATTATGTACGTAATGATACACCATTGATCAAAATAATTCCCTATATAGCCATGATGTTGGGTAAAGGGTGCTACAGGTGGGTACTAATTGCTTACCTTTTCCTCTTTTGTTTCTAACTGTCTGTCTGTCTGTCTGTCTGTCTGTCTGTCTGTCTGTCTGTCTGTCTGTCTGTGTGTCTGTCTGTCTGTCTGTCTGTCTGTCTGTCTGTCTGTCTGTTTGTCTGTCCGTCTGTCCGTCCATTCGTCGGTCGGTCGGTCTGTCTGTCTGTCTGTCTGTCTTGGTTTTTACCCCAACACTAAATGACTGTTAATGTGTCAATGTGTCTTATAATGTGTTAATGTGTCAATATGTCTTACTTCTCTTTTCTCTCTTTACACTTTACATAACCTCATGTTGATTAATCAGGATTTGATAATATAAAATCTTCTCCATCCTTTCTCAAGGATTGCTTTTTATTGCGTTCTTACTGCATTTTTGCGTCTAAACCTGACAGGACATAACCCTGAGATCAGCTCCATAACCAGTTATTATTTCGGTATATTTTACTTTGTAATATTCATCCTGTAAGAAGAGGAGGGGGGGGGGGGCTCTCGTGGCTTAGAGGTTAATGTGTTGGTTCAAATCTGAAATTGTCTCCTTTCACCTCCTTTCCTGCTCTCTAGCAATGTTCTGTTGTCTGCTTTTATCTCCTATTTCTGCACTCACCCCCTCACCTCCTTTGCCCCCTCCTCTGGGCTCCTGACTCTTTCTGCAGCCTTTCTACTGCTACTCCTTGGCTCCTTCTTACTTCTGTCTTTCAGCCACACTCCTGATCTTCTGGTAGGAAAGATCTACACCTAGCCTTCTCGGACAAGGGCAAAAAATCTTGGAGTTCCTTTGTGCAAATTGCGCTCGTTAATGATCCCTTGGTGGTCTAGAATCGATAAGAGTAGTCTTCGGCCGCTACCCAGGTAAAATTCAAAATTTCCTACCAACTGAAAATGTATAATGTGTCCCGCACGCTCATATGACCTAATGCAATTACGAACGCCGTAAAACACTTACCAAAAAAAAAAGAAAAATCCTGTAAGACTGCTTTGTGACTCCGCAGGCTACTCAAACCCGAGCCAGCCAGGTGGGGGTTATAATCAGCCAGGAGGCTACGGCCAGCCAGCCGGCTATGCGCCGCAGCAAGAAGGAGGCTACAACGGGGCTACTACGGTGGTCGTGAACCAGCCGCCCGTCACGCTGGTGCAGTCGTTCCGAGAGTCTCCGGTGCACACCTGCTGCCCGCACTGCAGGGCTGAGGTTGTCACGGGCATACACTACGAGAGCGGCACTTTTGCCTGGGTCATTTGCTGTGTGCTGTGGTGGGTCGGGTAAGTTGCTTTTCTTCAAGATTTTGATGAAAATAATAATTTGATAATGATAATAATTTTAAATAAAAATGATAATTTAATTATAATAACAACAACACTAACAATATCCTACTTTGGTGTATTTTGACATAACCATCTATAAATCAAAGTGCCTGTACATTTTAAAGATAACAAGTTGTTTAGTTTATACTGAACTATTTAAATTAATAATACTTTCCTGACAATTCTGTAAGTTATTTATGTTAGTTCTCTCCAAAAGTCCCTCCAAAAACGTTTGGAAATTGATTACGTAATTTTTACTCTAGCCAACCAGTTTCTTACCCTTTGTTGTCATAAAAGAAAAAAAAAATCGGAAGTAGGATCGGGCGCAATATTTATGCTATTTATTTGCTTTTTACTTTTTAACACTTACAGTACCGTCAGCGACTTAGATCGCCAGGCCGTAGTATGTGCTCACTACCGCTGGCGACTGGGATTCAGGTTGCAGTTCTCTCTGCTATGGAGACAAAAAGAGACACGTCTTCGGCATCTTCTATCTCATTCTTGAGGAAAAGAGCCGAAAGATTTTGTGGCCATAACCAGTTCGTCCATCCCTCCTTGATTCCTCTGAACTAGATCACTTTTTGGCTTTTTTTTCCCGGAAGACTCATTGAAAAAAACCAAAATTGTATCACAACATGATGGAATCAGGCGCTCGTCAAAATGCTGAAATTAAATAAACGAACATTTTTCCACCCGTGGGGCAATTTTTATCGAATTTTTTGTTTTGGGCTCAACACCTTTTATTTTATGCCCGTAAAGGGGAGGAGTGACGCTTGATTTTGCAGATTTTGGGTCCATCTATGCAAATTTTATGTTGGCTGATTTTTGAAGATCAACCTGTTTTTTGTCTAAAAATAGCATGGATACAATTGAGAAAATCTTTATTCTCCTGGTAAATTGCCTTTGAAAACATGAGGATGGATTAATATTGTGCATTTTCACAATTATTGTCATTTTTCACAAAATGTAATTTTTTTTGCAGTTTTTTTCCCTACTCCTTCCTAAGTTTTCATTCTTTTGACATGAAACTTTCAGGAAACATGATGGAAAAGGCTGCCATCAATGTAACAGAGAGATATTTTCGAAAAAAATAACACTTTTCCAATGGCAAGCGATTACGCCATCTAAATTTAGAAAAAGTTTTTTATACTTTTGGAAAATTTTCCTTTTTTTTTTCTTTTGCACTTATTGAAAAAAAACTTGCTGTTATTCTGATAGGGTCTGGTTCAGGTACACTCTCACCAAATTTGGTCAGTAAATAAGAAAGCCCTAGGGATTTGAAATTCATTGTTTATTTTCAAGATGGTGGCTGTTTCCATAGCAACCGTTGTAGCTATGCCAAAATGAAATTGCATATCAAGAGATTTTACTATGTCTAACTTATATGTGTACTTAGATTTGATCTCGGGTAACAAACAGAAAATGGTCGTCCCGTTAAAAGATTTGTAAAGAGCTGCATGACGAGCGTGTGCCCTCTATTGAGTGTGTGATTATGTACTTGCAAGTAAGCCTGCGGCGTCCATGACTGTATTGTGAAGAAAACAATACTTGTTCATGATCACGAGGAGCACTTTTATCACTTAGATTATAGCTACCAGTCTGATGTGAATCCTTTGGTGAGGGGGGGCGTGGCAGGCAGGACTAACTTATCAGATTTTTAAAAAGTAGGTCCCTCTTCTTTTCTGTCCGTCTGCTATTTCTGTCTATCTGTCTTGCTTCTACCCTACACAATTGGAGCGTTATTGTGTTAATGTGCTTCTCTTTACCCTTACTCAAACTATGTGCAGCAACAATCAAATCAGCGGTTCTCCTGGTTTAGAGGTAGGGTGTTCATCTCTCATTCAATAAGGTCCCAGGATCAAAACCCGAGAGTGGCGGAAAATTTTCTTCTCTAGAATGTTCTCCTTTCACCCCCTTTCCTGCTCTTTAACCATGTTCTGTTATCTGCTTTCATCTCCACCTTCTGCCCCTTGCCCCCTTCTCCCCCTTTGCCCCCTCCTCTGGGCTCCTGACTCTTTCTGCGTCTTTTCTACTGCTACTCCTTGGCTCCTTACTGCTGTCTTTCAGCCACACTCCTGATCCTAGGGTAGGTAAGATCTAACACCTAGCCTTCTCAGATAAGGGCGGAAAAACCTAAAAGGTCCCGTGTGCAAGTTGCACAAATTAAAGATCCTGTGGTGTTCCTAAAATCGATAAGAGTAAACTTCAGCTTCCACCCGCGCAAAATTAAAAAAGTAATTCCTTCCAAACTGAAAATCTTCATGTTTCCCGCTTGCTCATAATAATATGATCTTCTGTAGTTGCGAATGCCATAAAACACTTACAAAAAAACCATACCAAACAACCCCCCCCTCTCCCCCCCCCTCTCAGTTGAATATAAATCCTCGTTGATGGTTGGCAGGTGCTCTGGTGTGGTTTGCTTCTTCTTTCCTATCACGCATCTATCGTCCTTATCTCCCCTTCTTCTTTTTTATGTTTGTCACTCACTTGTAACACCTCTAATTTTCTGGCGCTCATATGACCTTATTGTGTTGCGAGCGCCGTAAAACCTCTACAAAAAAAAAAATTTAAAAAAATTACTAATACTAAAATATAAATCCTCATTGTTGGCTCCCTTCCTCAGACTGGGCCTGGGATGCTGCCTGATCCCGTTCTGCGTTGACGGCTGCAAGGACGTGATCCACACCTGCCCCAACTGTCAGCAGCAGATTGCTCGCTTCTCCCGCATGTAGTGCTGACTCACACAGGCTGCAGCCCCAGGGCTCGGAAGGACATCAACGTTCCCTCCCTGGCATATCATGTCTTTTGACAAACTTTAAATGTTTTCTTCAGCGTTTTGATATTCCATCCAAATTTCCTCTTGTCTTGAACCTCTCTATCTCTAAGTTTATTGTAATCAATTAAAAAAAAGCAATTTTCTCCACTTTCTCCCTGTTGTCGTAGCCTGCTACAGAAGTTGCCGCCTTACGGGTTTTCTGTGACACCGTAGAGGTCCGGTTGTTGTATTGTGTACCTTCTGAATTGTAAATTTTGACACTCGGTTCAAAGTCCCTTTTCCTCTTTTATGAAAATACAAGTTAATTTTGACACAATGTCTGTAGCCAGGCAAATCACTGTCACCTAGATCCGCCAATGGCACATGTAACCGAGGTATTCTTAAGCTTCAAGAATAATTCTATGTAGAATTAATTCATTTTCATGATTTGTTTGGACTTTTACATTCATTGTTACTTTTGTCTTTATTATTGGAACTGTGTTGTTGAGCGAATTGTCTTTGCATATATATCAAAATAATCTTACTCGCTCGTTTGAATTGCTTTAGAATTTACAGACATAATATGAAGGTTTTGAAAGTGGGGTTACTGTCTGATAGTGTATTTGAAGAACTTATCAGTTCTCCACGTGATTTTAAAGACATTTTTTTACCCTAGGATATTACTTTTAAATTTTATATCTGGAAATGAAATTTTCACATACCATGATTACTTGGACTTTCATAAATCAATAAATGAAAACTTATTGCAATCTTTTTACAGACTCTTTTCAATTGAAGAGTTTTCAAGCCATGCGTACTTATGTCTAATGAAACTTATGTTTTTATGTCTTAATAGTGAATTGTATGTAGGTTGTTAAGGAGACAGGTTGTTTTTTTTAGCTTTATTTTTGAAGTAGAAACTAAAAGATGCAAACATCTTAATTTATTTCCTATTGTACTTTATTATGACGAAGGGATCACAGTTGTCTGTATCTATTTCGTGTTCTACGTTTGGAGAATTTGGGAGCAGTGACAGTGCCTTCCCAGTATTTTTATCATCTTTCAGCGCTTGTTGATGTATAGTGCAAAAGAAATAACTATAATGTTTTGTTGACTATGTTAAAATTTTATTACTCCAACATTTTTCTCATTTTATCCTTCAGAAACCCCCCCTCAAAAGCCAACAACCATACAGTATGTTGATGTATCTTGACAGCTGTTTGTTACGACTATTGTCAAACATATTATACGTAGCTCATTGTCTGAATGTAAACTTGTCCATTTTTGGATTGTTGGTGTGTTATTTTGATGTAAGATTAGTTTATGTAGAATCATTTATCTGTTTCACGTAGTGATAGCTTTTTGTGTCTGGCTAATAATGAAACTCTTCCTGGCGCTGTGGAGGGGGGGGTGTGGGGGTGTGGTAGAAGCTCTTTTGATACACACATCTCATAAATTTTAAGCCTAGTTGGGGAAAACATTTTTACAGTTGACAACTGTACTTTAGATTTTTGCTCCTGGGATTGACCTGAGAGGATAATTGTGTTTATAGTTTGATGGGGGACTTGCGGGGTTTGTTTCTATTTCTAACGATCAGCAAGACTAAATAGTAAATATCACAGTGCCGAATTTGGTTGGGCGCCATATTGCGTCAATAGTGAGGGAGGACTTGGAAAAACTATTTCTTTTTATGCAGTGACATTGCTAAATTTTTACACTTTTTAGGGTTGTGAAGTTTAGAATCACGACATGACTTGGTGGCCTCCCTTTTGGAGCGGGCGAAATATTTTGTGGGACTATGATTGTTAAGATGTTTTGTGCGGATTATGGACCTTGGAACCATGGTGAATGATGGTGGTGTTGTTTAAGAAGACCATAGATTGGTGACCTTTCTGTGAAAAATAATTTTATTATGTGAAACGTATATATGAAAAGGGGCCGGGAATTTTGAAGTGAAATAATGATTCAATTAAATGTCGTGTAATGAAATGAATGTTTTGTCCACAAGGCAAATGTTTACAAATTTGCAAAGCTTAACAAATGAGAATTATAGACAGACACTCTCTAAATATTTTTAAAATAGTACAAGGGGGGGTCTTTGTATATGGTCATTTATACAGGTGATTACCTTGGAAAGGTCGACGTAAGAGCAGATTCGACTGTTTTTCATTTATTTAGAAAGTGCATTTCTCTCTCTTTTCGAAATTCCTAGTGACACATTTTATACGCAAACCTAAAAGGCTTTCAGATGGATATTTGATCATAGGTTTGTCTGTAATGATTGCCGAGGATATGAAGGAAAAGGGTCAGGACTGCTGGTTTGCAGCACAGAAATATTTTACGTAGAGTTGTACGTGCACAAGATTGGTGTGCTTGTGTATAAAATGACTGCCTCAGTGTAACACTCTGCCGCAAGCCGTTTTGAAAAGTGAATAAGTGTCACGACGTGGTGGAACTGGGTGCTCGTCAATTTTTGAGCGTATGGAGTTATTGATATTATCTTAAAGCTTGTTCATATGTCTTGCATTTGGCAAAAAAAAATACCCATCTATCTTGAATAGAAGTCGAGATTTTTGAGAATGAAGGAGGTGGGGGTCGTCTGGTTTCAGAAGTAAAATTAGTGAAAAAATGGCGGCCAAAGATGAGTTATTTCCAAGTCTTGTGAGATGTTGAAACTGAAAATCAACATTTTTTGCGCCTTTAATCAACATTTTTCAGTAAAATCCACACAGAAATGTGTTCTTTATTGGACATGAAAGGTGGTGAACCAAAATAGGAAAATTCGCTAAAAATTCAGAAACCTTTAGAAAAATGCCAGTTTCTTCACTTGATATTCTTTTGAAGAGTGCCTGATTTCACCACGCTGCCGCGTATATTATGATGGAGTCCTACACTGAGCGGTGGAACAATTGTATTTGTTCTTAACCCTTCCAGCCCCGAGCGCATATATTTTCAGCAGCGCTTGTACCTCCCGCCGTCCCAAGAAGGTATATTCTCAGTTTTGGGGGGTACGAAATAAGCGAACCTAATTAAACTTTAATTTTCATAATATTTGTTCATTTACCTTTAAACATTGTTATATGTTATTATCTAAACCTTATAATATAACAAAAATACTACATCACTTTTCAGAATATATACCTCTTTTTCTGAAATACTGCTGTATTGGCGGGCGCTGGGGTTAGGGAGTGCACAAAAATGCCTGGGGCTGGAAGGGTTAAAAGTTAATTTGGCTCATTATCACTATTACTAGGGAAAATATTCTATTTTTGTGTTTTTCAGAAACCTGTTCTCAGTGGATTTATTTTTTATAGTTCACATGTGTTTACCTCTCTATTTATTAGTACTTCTGGCCAGAGCCTATTTTTTCTTTTTCTATTCTTTTATGCAGAATTTATTTCTGGTGGCTTTATTTAATACAGTACTTTATATTGTTCCGACTCTGATTTTTTTTCACCTTCCTGCCAGAGGGGTACTTGACTTTGAGTTAGGGAAGTAAAGGTGGCGTGGAAAGGAACTGGCCACCATACCACGATATGCCGAAGGCCCAGGAAGTTGCCTCACTAACAAGGCAATCCCCAATGTCCGGATCGGATGCGGGAACAACTTTAACTTTACTTTATATTGCTTTCATAGATTGCACAGGTAGTCCTATATAATAGGTCAACAATATATCAATGAGTACTTAGAGGTGTTTTATGTAGGAAAAAGTACATATTATTTATATATACTTTAATCACAGAGGGTTATGTTATGATTAGTCTTATTATGTTGCCTGGAAGGGGAAGAATCCTGGAATCTGTGATGTATCTGTTTGGTTGTCTGAAATTTTACTGATCTTTTTTATTTTTCAAATTTGTGATAGTTTGAACTCCGTGGTGTTGTTCCGCGCAGTTTTTGCTGTTTTTGTTTTTGGATTGTTAAACAGGCAGAATAAAAAACAGGTTGAAAATTCGTGAATTGTGATGAAGCCTCGGAAGAAGGGAAAAACCTTGTCTCAGTTCTCCTGTTTATCTGAGTGTTGATTTTTTTGCATGTATTTTTTAAATGTATTTTTTGCATACTTATATTTGGAGCTTTTAGTGAGACAGACTTAGAAAATGTTATCAGTCTGTTATCAGTCTGTTATTTTGTAATTACTTCAGTATTGGTCGATTTGATTTTAATAAATATCTCACTTTTTTAAAGTTTGACAACCTGAAAGTTTGGATGTAAGGATTTGATAAATACTTTATATCAACATAAAAACAGATTTTATGAATTGCTGTCGCAATAAAATGCTTTTATCAGTGTTACCTATGTATTGAGAAGTTGCACAACACATGTGACCAGCTGTTTACTTGTCAAAGAAAGGAAAATTTAGTAAGATTGACAAAAACCAAATGAAAAATAAAATTTTATTGACATGTACTTGAAGCAAGACAGCAAAGTTTTTTTGACTTTCTATGACTTAGTAAGTGGATTGCTTGTACTGTGTACTGTTTTTCAGTCTGTGACATAGCAGATAGGTGCTTGGCTATTGCACGCAGGAGACTCGAGTTTGATTCCTGAGTGGGGAAGAAATTTTTCTTGAGTATCTCAGGGTTTGTGCTGGGATGTTTCCCTCTGAGTCTGGGTCAGAAGCCTGCCTCCTAGGTGATCTAAATCATGTTGATGAGGGTGTGAAAAATCTACATTGGAATTTAAAAAAAGAATTATTTCTTTTTTCAGTTTTATTCTGTTTTTGAGAATGTTGTGTTTAATTCCTGTTGTATGCAAAATAAGATTGTTAAATATGTGGTGCTGTCTCTTCTTTTATTGTTGATGGTTGTTAGCTATGGTTAGATGACCAGAAGTATTTGTTAATGTCGACAAATCCTCAAAAATTTGCTCAGAACTATATACATATATCACTTGTTTTCAGAAATCTTGATGTATTTAATAATAATAAAAATGTAGATCATTTCTATAGCGCCCACTCCTGTGTGAACACAGCTTTAACTAGGCGTATTTGAAAGATTTTAGTGGGTGCTGGGTGGGTGCTCTGGTGTGATCTGCACCTTCTTTTCTATCATATATCTATCATCCTTATTTCTCCTCCTTTTTTGTGTTTGTTACTCTCTTGCAACTCCTGTTATTTTCAGCACGCACTTATATGACCTTATTTTGTTGCAAGTGCCATAAAACTCTTACTAAAACAAGGATACGAGCTCCCAGCCAGCGTTAGACTCAGGGAAGTGGATTGGAAATGCTCACTTTCAAGCACAAGAGGGCTATTCCAAAAAAATGCTTTTTTGAGAAAATCGAAAGTAAAGTTTTTGCCCCTTGTTCAGTTTCTTTAAAATACAAGGAGAGTTTTCTCTATAACCAAACAAATATACACACCAATGAAACCAAACTTCTCCTATAGGTAGGGCAATGCCCACTTTTAGTATAGGCCAAGATTTCTGGAAACCCCTGAAATCTGGGTTAGCCTGCTTGTCCTTAAAGGCGACCAAATTGCAGTGGCCAGGTGCTTGTCTGTTGCCCAGAGTGAGGAGAATGGGCTCACCTCCCTTAGACAACAACAACACAAATTCCTGGAAGTATATCGTCGCCCGAGTACAACAGCCCTGTATCCCACAAAAACAAAATTTTGCAGAAGGGAAAAAAACTTCGATAATTCATCTAACAATATGATTTATTGTTAAAAATTTAAGTCGGAATGCTGCTCTGCCGATGTTTATTGAGCTACATATGTAGGAAAATTTAACACAAAATTCACAACGTTAGTAAAAAAAAAAAAAACAACACAAAAAAGGTGTTTTTTTGACATTGGGTTACAGGGTTGTTGTACGCAGGCTACGATTTTATCTAGGGATAATCAGGTTTTGGCCCCAATGATCATAAGTTGCCATACCCATGCCTCCCTACCCCCCCTACCCCCTACCACTACGGCAGGTTACCCCATACCCTATCCCCAACCCTACCCCTAATCTTTATCCTACCCTTGCTCATAATGGTACCATTCATATATTCGGGTACGCCTACTCTTGGGGCCAACACCAGAGATTGCCATTATCTATAGCTTCGGCTCAGATCTAGTTGTCGTTGTAAGAAGCCTTTGAATTGTAGAACCGGTCATTGTAACTTGCTACCAACTTTCTTGAACTGAGAAATTGAGAAAACTTTTATTCAAACAGAGCACTGCAGCTCAGAATGAAAGAAACTTTAAAAAAAATTTGGACAGTGGAGACTTGGTTTGTTGAGATAAGTATTGCCGTCCCCGTGGTTTTATGCACCCCGCATAATTTAGCAAAATTTGATCATTTTTTGCATAATTTCGGATTATTTCCTTTTATCATTCTTTGTTAACATTAACAGAATCGCATAATTTCACATTTTTGGGCTCAGTTTCAGAATTTTTCTTGTATAAAACGACGGGGACAGGTATTGCCATAAAAAAAATTTATGCAGTGGAGAGAGGAAGTTAGAGATGGGTTATGTATGACTAATGCTGCTCAAGTTTGGAATTATTTTATGTAAATTAGGTTTGGCAATAGTACCCTTTATGTGTTGCTTGAACTTGAAGAGTTTTGACAGTGAGATGTGTGTGATGGGACTAAAGGTGACTTTCACTGACACGTACACTGGCATGTACACACGCTCACATGCACACACACACACACTCACACACACACACA